GGCCGTGAGTCAGTCAACTCCAGGACAGTGGGTTTGCCAGCTCGGAGGGCTGCGTGGGGTTGAAATGGCAGAGAGCTTGGCAGGGTCTGAGCCGGTCCCGGCTGGCGACGCCCCCTAGTGTCCCGGAGTAGAATGACCCCTTAGGACTTTCGTGGCTATCCTAAGTACAGCACCGGTTAGCAGGGCCTTTCTCCCGCAGAGCACCGCTGGCTTTGGGTGGCAGCCAGGCTCCTCTGACTGAAGATGTGGCCGGGCCTGTGACATGCTGTGACAGCTGGTGACTGGAAGGGACCTCGCTGAGATCATGGTGTGAAGCTGAAACCAGAAGCCAGCCCCCTTCCCTCCCCGCTGCGACTTAGTGCCTGCATTTAGGGGCCTATAGAGCTGCGGGGGAGGCAGGGGACAAGAGGCAGCTGTCCCAAGGGTGACAGGGTAGGGCCACAATACCCAGAGTGAGACGGGGGCTTTCCAACCCAGATGGAATCTCCTGGGGGGGGGGGGCAGGGATTAGGTGGGCTCTATACAGCCCTAGGACTATCGGGTGGTTGGGGTTTGGACATGATATTCTCCCTGCCAGTCGGGGAGGTAGCTTCTCGATGGCATGTAAGCAGGGCCACTGGTGTGGTCCAAGCCAGGTGTTCACTGCAGTTCCCTAATCTTGGGCTGTAATTTCCCTGCTGAGAAGGAGTAGCCTTGGGGCCCCTTGGATTCTGACAGTCAGGGGTAATAGAGTGCCCAGAGACCCTGGGGGTGGAACATCGCATGGGGTAGGGGGAGGGAGGGGCGGCTCACACTCCAGGCCCCTGGGCTGGCTGGTCTCCAGGCCCTGCACAAGCTGCTCCTCCAGCTCTCCGCAAAGCAGTTCCACCTACAGGACGCCTCCCCTGATTGCCAAGTCTGGGTGGACTGGGATTTTCTGGGAACTCTACTGCCTAACCCCTATGGGCGCCTGAGTCCCCGCACACACCATCAGGCAGGTGGTCACCCCACGGACACTCAGTCAATGCTTCGCGCGCGCCCCCTTGGGGAAAAGTTGGGGGAAAAGCACCTCCCGCTGCAGGGGCCCCTGGGAGCTGGAGGTGGGGAGCTGTGGCCGAGGGCAACCTGCCAGGCCCAGCCCCTCACCTGGAGCACCATGACGGGCACGGAGAAGATCATGGCCTCGTTGAACACGGGGTGGGGGTCGTCCCGCTTCACGGCCGTCTTCTTTTTGCTCATCTTCCTCCCGTCCTGCAGCAGGTACACCTTGACGAAGGGGTCTGTGGGGGGCAGGCGGGAGCGGGCATCACACGGGCTCCTCCTAGCCCTGCCCACCTGGCTCCACCTCCCACTGCCCAGGCCTTTCCGCCAGGGTCAAGATCTCCCACCATCCTCTGCGATGCCCGTCTCACACAGGAGAAGACAGGCAGGCACGTGCACCCGCTGGGCTTTGGGCTCCAGCAGCCTGCTGCTGCGCGGCCCACATACTTGCTCCCCCCAGCCCCACCCCCCGACTGGGGAGGGGGGCGTTTTGGGAGTCCAGCAGCCCCGGCGCCTGCCATTCGAATCATGGCCTCTGAGTCAGCGGATCCTGACTCACGGAAGCAGCACTGAAATAGCAGGCGCCGTCGTCTGCCCAGCACCTGCCGCCCACCAGAGACCTGACCGTGCCTCCCTGGGTGTGGATCCTCCCGGCTCCCACCTCCCAACAGGTGGGGACCTCCAGGGCTCTGTCTTTGTGGGGGGGCACAAATGTCTCCAGGCTTGGAGCTTTGGGAGGGGAGGGGAAGCTCCGGAAGACCTGGCACCCACCCCATCCTGGGGGCTCCTGGTTCTCTTTGGGAGTCTGTGGGGTCATCCCGCCACTGGTCCTCTGCCTATGGAGCCTCTGTGAACCCCAGTTCCAAAACACAGGTGCCCACCTTGCTTCTCTGCCCAGTCAGTGCCCCTGTCCTCCATCACTCTGTCCCACTCTCACCCTTCAGGGGCTCTCCCCATCCCATGGAGCCACTTCCCGCCTGGATCCATCTTCCTCCTGCCGGGCATAGCTCCGAGCTCAGCGAAAGCCATGGGAGGTGGCGGAAGGCTGGCACCATGTCTCACACCTGCCAGGGGCAGCCTCCTTACCAGCTGTGGTCTTGTTGTTGGTCCATATGAGATTCTTGGCCTTTACCACCACCACTGTGAGCCGCTCGGCCGTAGGGAGGTAACTGAGGGACAGCAAGATCTCACCCACAGCGTCGGCGGCCTGGGGACAGGTGGGTGGCTCAGGTAGCTTTTCCTTCCAGACTTGGAGGGGGGAGGTGTGGGGCCCAGGGAGAAAGGGTAGAAATCCACTCCCCCACCGAAAGACGGTTCTTGGTAAAGACCTTAGATGAGGAGCCAGAAAGGCCTCCCACCCCACAGAGCACACACCCCCTCAGCCTGACGCTAGGCTGGGGTAGGCCCTGCCTGGGTGTCTGTCAAGTGGAGCACACAGATGTGGCTTTGTTCCAGACGAAGCCAACATTCCACGGTCATGGGATGCTTGGGACACGCAAGGCCACACGGTCAAGGGAGACTGGGGTTGGGAAATCATTGGCTTCAACAATGTGGCTACACTCTCAACAAAAGATAAACCGGGGCTTGGCCTCGGTCTGCTATAACCCACTTAGGGCCAGAGGAGTGTTTCCTTGACCTTTCGAAGCCCAGTGAGAGATGAGCCTCTGAAGGTTTGGTGGTAAGAACAGACGAAGAGCTGTCAACAGTGGTTGGTCAAAAACACCAAACTGCCAGAGGTGCCCTGGTGGCATCATGGTTACTCACTGGGCTGAGATCTAAAAGGTTGGTAGGTCAAGACCATCAGGGACTCCTCGGGACAAAGATGGTCAAAGGATGAGAAAAAGGTCGAATTAGTTTCCTATGCTGTGTAACAAATGGCTACAAATAGAGCAGTTTGAAAACGCCAAGTGCCCCTGGGGCCATTCCAACCCTAGAGGACAGGGTAGAACTGTCCCTGTGGGTTTCTAAGACTGTAACTCTTAATGGGAGTAGAAAGCCTCATCTTTCTCCCCCAGAGTGGTTGGTGGTTTCAAACTGCTGACTTTGTGGTTAGCAGCCCAACTACCAAGGCTCCTCTCCAGCAGTGGTCAAGGTGGTTTTCCCCCCTCCCTCTGCATGCAGCCAGTGACCCAGGCCCCTTTCCGGATTCTTCTAGAGCTTCCAGGGGAAGGGCCGTGGGACTCTAAGGTGCTGGGGGTGTGTGGGGGTGGTGGTGGCAGCAGGTCAGACTCACCTTGTTCTGATCCTGGAGGTATAGCCAGCCCCGGAAGGGCTGCAGCGGCAGGTCCAGCACAGAGAGCTTCAGCTCCACCACCCCGGTGCTGACATTGCGCTCGTCCTCATCGATGCCGAACACAGAGAAGCGCAGACTCTTCTCCTCGAGGCCCGCGGGGTCCAGGGGGATGGAGAACTTCTCGTCGAAGAAGATGGAGTAGGCGTTCCTCTGGATCTACAGGGAGAAAGGGCCGTGGAGGGAGCTCCAAATGCAGAACGGAGAAGAGGCGGCAGCGAGGGCCCGTGGTTGTCAGGCGCCATCGAGTGGGTTCCGACCCACAGCGACCCGATGCACCACAGAACGGAACAGGGCCTGGGACTGCGCCGTCCTCACAGCTGTTCCCGGGCTTGCGTTTGCTGGTGCATCACCGTGTCCATCTGTCTCACTTCATCAAACAAGATGTGCTTCTCCAGGGACGGGTCTCCCCCGACACGTCCAAAGCATGTAAGGTGAAGCCTTACCATCCTTGCCTCTAAGGAGCATTCCGGCCATACTTCCTCCAAAACGGATCAGGTGATCCTTTTGGCAGTCCGCGGTACTTTCAACGGTCTTCGCCAGCCCCACGGTCTATAGGCGCCAATTCTTCTTCCGTCTTCCTCATTCAATGTCCCACTTTCACATGCAGATGAAGACATTGGACATACCAGGGCTTGGGTCAGACACAACTAAGTCCCCAGAGTAACATCCTTGCTTTTGAATGCTCTAAAGAAGTCTTGTGGGAAGCCTCCAGGTGAGGACAGAGCACTGGACATGGAGTTCCGTGGCCTGGGCCAGAGTCTAAGCTCTGTGGTCCCCACATCCTCCAGTCATCCTTCCTTTGGGGGCTCACCCCTGACCTTCCCTGGCTCACAAGCTCTCTGTCCGCTCAGTGGTCTGGCATCAAAGCCACCACAAGCTGCCCCAGGCCATGGCCTTTTCCATCGCTTCCTCTGCATGGAAAAGCTGAACACAAGGAAGGAAGACGGAGGAGAAGCAATGGCTCTGCATGCCGGTGCTGGAGAAGAGACTGCGTGTGGCAGCCAGAAGAGCCAGCACAAATGTCTTGGAAGAAATGTAGTCAGAGTGCTTAGAAGGAAGCACGGGGAGATTTGGTCTCACGTACATGGGACACGTCACCAGGAAGGACCAGTCCCTGGAGAAGGACATCCTGCTTGGCAGGGGAGCTGGGCAGAGCCAAAGAGGAAGACCCTCAAAGAGATGGATTCACGCGATGACTGTGACCATGGGCTCACAGGGACGATCGCGGGGAGGGCATGGGACTGGGCAGTGTCTTGAACCAGACCCAACTCAAGAGCACCTAGCCCCCACTCCCATGAGACAGCATGGGCACAGTTACTACACTGATGCCTGGTGTAGAGCAAGTAGCTGCACGCTGGCCACGTGGCACACAGCCTCCCACCCAAAGAGCCCAGTACATTCTCAGATTCAACACTTCTTCCTGAAGGGCAGGCCCTGGTGATGATGACTTGCTCAGTCTGAAGACTTGAAGACTTGTGAGGTTCCGGGTCAGCCTGGTGAGCTGGGGTCCACGTAGCACCTACTGGCAAGGGCCCAGGGTCCTGGAGGCTGCCACTAGCATTGTGGCAGAGCAACTCAGGATATCCTGGGAGTTAGGCCTGACTGTGGCTTCTATAAAGGGTTCCTGGAGTCTGCTGGGGTGCGGGGGAGGCCTAAGGCTCCAACCAGCAGAGGACCCCACTTTGTCCCCTGATGTTCCTCCACCACCTCCAGGGTGACCTTTCATATGCAGATCTAATCATCTCACTCACTGCTCAAGATCCTTCTGCGGCGCCCCCCCATTCCCCGAGGATAAATCATTTCATTGCAAGGCCTCTGTCCAAGGCTTCCCTCTGGCACCAGGCTCCCCACCTTCCATCTCACTCCTCCACTAGGTCAGCTTCCATTCAGCCTCTGAGGCTCAGCCTGGGTACCACTTCATCTCTGGTCCTCAGGCAGGACTAGGTGCTCCACTCTAGGCCACCAGTCCCCCGAGGAGGCCCCTCACACACCTGTCCTTGCTACTCTTTCTACAACAATCATTGTAGCAGCTTCCCCAAATCCCACACACTGCAAAACCGTGTCTGTGCTTGCACTCCAGTGCACTGCAGAGTCTGGCCCAGAACTCCAAAATGCTGTGGGATGTAAAGATGAATGGATGGATAGATGGATGGACAGATGGATGGTGGACAAATGGGTAGCTAGATGGGTGGATGGAGATACAAAGATGTGTGGTGGATGGATGGACGTGGTGACTAGGCAAGGCTCTATTTCCTAGCTCTGTACTACCTGATGGACATCATTGGCCTTCTCCCAGAAAGCTGTGAGCAGGCCCCCTTGGGAGTTGCACCCACGGACACTGCTCCTCCTTTTGTGGGCGCTGCCTGAGTCATTGCTCTACAGCATTTAAATAGAGGCACTCTCCTCCCTGGAACCTGGCCTTTAGCTGGGGGACAGCCCAGTCTGCAGCAGCCACCCACCCACTCAATGGGACTGGCCAGGCGGCAAGGCTAAGAAGCCGCCTTCCTGTCTCCAGGTGCCCTGAGCCACACTCTGCTCCCACTGCCTGGCATCGGAAAGGCTCCCCAGCCAGCCCCTGCTTCAGGACACTAGCATTCCTGAGTGGCCTCTCCCGGCCTCTTTGCCACTGCCCCCACCCCACCCCCCGGCTCCCCCAGCCCCCGGTCTCCTCCAGTCTTTGCCACAAGAATGGAGAACATGAACTCCTGTCTCGAATCTCAAACCTCCTGCTTACTCACCGGGCCTCAGTTTCCCCATCAGGAGGAGATGGGAGACTCCCAGATGGGGTGGGCTCTGTAAGCCTCAGGCGTCAGCTGCCAACATCCAGAAATATCCATAATCCTATGAGAAGCCCAGGCCACAGGTGGCAGGGCTCTGGGCACCACACGCCTTTCAGGGTCCGGACTGGGCTGAGAACTTTACATGCACCCAGTCAGCCCCCGGTGGTTAAGCTGTGGGCTAAGTCTTGGGCGAGCCGCTGACTGGGATGTCACTGCTTCAAGCCCACCAGCTGCTCCTCGGGAGAAATTATCTTTCTGCTCCCGGGAAGACTGACAGCCTGGGAAACCCACAGGAGCAATTCTTCTGTCCTCGGGGGTCCAGAATCCACTGGATGGCAGTGAGTTAGATTTTGCTTGGTTTTAAGCATACATACATTGATTCTGACCCCACTGGGCAGATGGAGAAGTTGGGGCACCGAGGCTTAAGTGACCTCCTCCAGGTCATAAGGGCAGGAAGCGGTGGAGTCAGGATTTGAATCCAGGCAGTCAAGTTCTAGGACCCTGAGTTAGTTAATTGTGCCAGCCTGGCCGATAATCACATGTGGTGCTGGTTGAAAGGCAGAGGGATAAATGGGTGGTGAAGCCTCGCCTTTCGAGTTCTCAGGTCTCTTGTTTTGTGATGGTTGCATCGGGTGCAGCTGCCTTAGCAGTTCCCTGCTTCAGCTTGCAAGATTGACTTCCTACAAGACATCCCTAAGGAGAAGCCGCATGGATCTATCCCGATGCAGCCCTGGGTGCTGGAGCAGCCGTGTGGAGACCCCTGCCAGTGCTGAGATGCTTGTTCGTTCACTGACTCAGCTTTCCTCCTGCAGTCGGCATCATTGCCTCTGTTTTGTGAGGTGAAGGACTTTGTGGACTGGTGTTGGGTATGGGTTAATGTTGGACTTGTGGGCTTGGGCAGCATTGGGTTGGGTGTTTCCGTGATGCACATTTTCTTTGCATAAAACTCTCTTATCTATGAGTTGCCGTGCATTTGTTTCTCCAAAGTACCTAGACTAATACATTATGGTACCAGGAGTGGGGTACTGGAGAAACAAATCATAAGATAGAGAGTAGATGTTTGTTTGACCTCTCCCTCCTGGAAGTTTTCCTTCTTTGTCTAAGCAGAGGTCAGATAATGCCACACTGTTTACTGGGTTGTTTCTGGGAAGTGGGAAAATAGAAAGTTTGTAAGTCCACTTGCTTCAGTCATTAAAATTTGATCTTTAAATGGGTTTAGGCCATAGCTATAAAAAAGCTTTGAAAATATATGCCCCACCCAGTGCTTTGGAGTTCTCAGGAACCAGTAGTCTTTGTCAGAAGCTGGAAAAGATTTGGAACCATGAAGAAAACTCTCTCTTATACATGAGTTGCTGTGGATTTGTTTCTCCAAAGTACCCAGACTAATACAGACCCAGACTGTGAACCACCTGCTGCACTGCCTCTCAGAAGCTGTGCCACCCCCACGTGGTACCCACATACACATAAGGTTTGTGGTCAGTTCTAGACCCGAGAGGTGCGATAGGAGCGAAAGATGCCCTCTGTCGTCCCTGCTTAGGGTCAGCTGGTATCTGGCACAGTCCAGTGAGCAGATACAAGCGGGTGGGTCTCTGAGGAATCAGAGGCATGTCTGGTCCTGCAGCTCCTCAGGCTCCTCTTGTTCTGGGTTCGAGGCTACCTGGTCTCCCCAGGCTCAGACCCTCACTGAGCCGCTAACTGTGCACTGCTGGGCTGGGCTGGGCTAGGCTATGGGGCACCACTCAGCAACACACTGCATGGGGTAAATCCACAGCACAAGACCTCGTGAGAGTCTTGAAAAGCAGGGATGTTACTTTGAGGACTACGGTGCACCTGACACAAGCCATGGTATTTTCAATGGTCTCCTATGCAACAAAAAGAAGAAAGTTGGACATTGAAGAAGGCGGCTCAAAGGAGAATGGATGCCTTTGAATGACAGGGCTGGAGAAGAACCAGAAAATCTGTCTTGGAAGAAGTACAGGCTGGCTGCTCTTCAGAAGCAAGGTTGGTGAGACTTGATCTCACATACTTTGGATGTGTCATTATGAGACACCAGGAGGGACATCATGGCAGGCCTCGAGGTGATGGATGGACACTGTGGCTGCAGCCATGGGCTCAGGCAAAGGAACTATTGTGAAGAGGACGGTGCAGGGCCGGGCAGTGTTTCCTTCTGTTGTGCACGGGGTCGCTATGGGTCGGAACCGACTCGGTGGTACCCAACAACAACATGCTGGTTTTGCCCCCTCTTGCTGGGGTGCACTGGGCATCTCCCCTTCTCCTCCCAGCATGGCATTCTTTCCTCTCCCTTCTCCAGACCTCCGGGGGCTCCCCTGGCCCCTGGCTTTGCGTGGGTCAGCCAGTGGGGATCACTCTTGAGAGGTAGGGCACCCTTCCACTCAGTTTCCTCTCTGTAGTATCATGCCCTTGTCTGAAGGTCACACCTCCTACCAACTTGTCCCCCTCCCTGAACCCACTTTGCCCTCATCCTTGTGTACCTGGGGTGGCACCGCCTTATAGGCCATTCTGGGATGAACCCTGCTGAATTGTCAAGGGGAATCTTTCCCACCAAGACCCCAAGTTGATTGGCCTGGGGGGAACAGACACCTCACCCAAGTGAAGTCCTAAAAAATTCTTTGACCTCACCAGCATCGCTACCTTCAGCTTGGGGATCAGTGATACCTCCCACCCCCTCTCTAGCACCCTCCTCAGGCCCAGCCTGGTCCTGCAGACCTGCTCCCCTGGGGAGGCCAGTGGGCTCAGACCCATCTCCGTTCTGCCTGTGCAGTCCACCTGGTACCACCCCCCAGTTCAGCCCCCACTCACCCTGGAAATGCCCACAATCCGCTCATCGGGCAGCAGGCTGACGCGCATGAAGCAGGACTCGAAGCTGACCTCCTCTCGCTCCAGGAGGTCCTTGCCCTGCAGTAGGGCCACGTGGAGGGTGTGTGAGGCTGCATCGTAGTCCATGCTCACTTCCACCTGGCCCAGCGTGAAGTCCTGCCCGAAGGTGTTGCTCACGGAGGAGATGGAGTTGAGGGAGTCTGCCGACTGGGACTTCCGCAGGGCCCCGTAGGGGGCCAGGTCCAACTCCCTGCCCATCAGCTCCAGGGGCCCCAGCTCGCTGATGCTGTCGAAGGTGTCCTCAACGCCCAGGCTGCCTTTGCGGCTGGGTGGTCCCCGAGCGCTGACCCGCTGGGCCGTCCAGGCAGGTGCTCTCTGTCGGTGAGGAGAAAGGAGATCAACAACGGTTAAGACGCACCCCATGGTCCAGAGCTATGGGTCCTTAGGAGATGGTGAAGTGCGGCAGAAAGTCCTGGCTGTCCGGGTCCTTCCAAGTTCCCAGGACACACAAACAGTGCATCTCTTCACCCCTGTTTGAGGCTGCTTCCTGTCACCTGCTTTCCCTCCTAACCCAGAAGCCTGGGTGGTATGGTGGTTATGAGTCAGGCTGCGATCTGCATGGTGCGCAGTTTGAAACCAGCAGCACCTCTTCAGGAGAAAGGCTGGGCTTTCTACTCCTGTAGACAGTTAGTCTCAGAAACCCACAGGGGCTCAGTGACTCAGCACTGCTCCATGACAGCGAGCTCTGGTTTAAAATGGAAGGACACTTTTTCTCTTGCAGAATGCAGTCGGCGTACAAAGATGTTCAGGGTCATGAGGTTGGCCTAGGGCAGCGGCTGTCAACCTGAGGGTCACGACCCCTTTGGGGGTCGAACGACCCTTTCACAGGGGTCGCCCGATTCATCACAGTAGCAAAATGACGGTGATGATGTAGCAACGAAAATAATTTGATGGTTGGGGGGTCACCACCACATGAGGAACTGTATGAAAGGGTCGCGGCGTGAGGAAGGTTGAGAACCGCTGACAAAGAGAAAGCAGTTGGCAACCAGGTGCCCGGCAGGGGGAATGTGCGGGAGTATTTAGGGTCTAGCTACCCTGTGGCTGCTTAAGCAGCTCAATGTGTTTGCAACCTGAGAAAGAGTTCGAGCTGGATAATGCTGCTATCGGCCAGGCTGCTGGTTCAAAGCCACCAGCTGCTTCCAGGGAGAATGATGAGGACATGTACTCCCGCAAGGATCGACAGCCTTGGCAACCCTCGACCGCCATGGCCAGGCCAAGGCCAAGTCAACTCCATGGGGGTGGGTCTAGTTTCTTTGGTCTGGGGTTGGCGGTTCCCATCTGTAGATGACAGCCAAGAAAAACCCTAGGGTGTGTGTGGGTGGGTGGGTGTGTGTGTAGGGGGGTCATCTCTGTACTGCCACGTAGCGCTGACACAAGACCAAACCACAACAATCCAGGGATACTTACATTTAAATGTTTTCCTAAATGGGCCTCAGAATGCTGTGCTATTAAGCAGCTCCTGAGTTCTTACACCAATTTCACAGGCCTCCTTTGCGAACGGTTCCCTGTTTGCTATTGAGCAAGGAGCATGTTTATTTGATCCGCTCCCTACTGCTGGGCATTCTGTCACCGTTTCAGTGCTGTCCATAGGTTCTCAGCGGCTAATTCCTCTCAAGTGGACAACCGATTCCTTCTTCGTCGTCTGTTCTTGGTCTGTTCCTGGTCTTTAAAATACCAGGGACTCGGCTTCCAGCAGCACAGCAGCCAGCACAGTGTCACCGGCTGGCAGACACGCGGTGGCTGCTGTGCTGCAGAGAGACCAGCCCCTGGAGAAGGGCATCGTGCTTGGTCAAAGCAGAGGGGCAGCAATCAAGAGGAAGACGATGGGCAAGGTGGCTGCAATGATGGACGCACACGTCGCAGTTGTGAGGTTGGTGCAGGACCGGGCAGCGTTCCATTCGGTGGGGGTGCACAGGTTCACTGTGATCGGAACTGACTCGACAGCACCCAACAACCACAACTGCTGGGCCTTCTCTCGCTCCCCGTGTCCCCCAAACACACCCCCACCCCCACGCGGGGTTGAATCTCGCCAGCCACGCAGCAGGCATCCCAAAGCAGGACCCACCGGCCTTCGGAAGGCTTCTGATACAGCTGCCCAAACCAGAGTGCCCTTTGGAAAAGGTCTGCCAATGGACACAATCCCCAGGAGCCCGAGTGAGTTGAGTGAATGAGTGGGCAGGGGGCCCCCCTGATCTGATAGCAGATTGCAATGGTGCGCCCTGGAAGCCTACAGGGAGCTCAGAAAAGTTCAATGATGCCACCCTCAACAGGATTGACTGCATGCCCTAAAAACAAAAACAAACAAACAAAACGTCTGTCCTGCCTGCTAGGAGGGTCATTCCACATCCGGGCAGCCATCAGAAGTCGGCAAGCCCAAACCCAAATGAAGACAAATGTTTGCAAACACACCCAACACTTGCTGCATTATTTATGAGGGCATTCCTTAAACCAGGCCTCCTCCACCAGAGGCCATCCCAGGCTGTTTGCGGTGGGAGTTCCCCGCGTGGGAAAGTGCTGGAGCGGGGAGCAAACAGGAAGGGCCGGGTGTGAAGATGCACCTACTGTGTGTGGAAGAAAGGCTGCGGGTGGGCGTCTCCCAGTGCAGGAACTGGCAGGGAATGTATCCCTCTTGACAGTGTGAAACAATGTGACCATTTGCCGGCCTGGGTGGCTTACAGTTCGGGTGCTTCTCCTCTCACGTGCGCTTTGCTGTATCTTTCCAAGGATTGGTTGACTTCCTAGGACAGGGGAAGGGGCCCTGGTGGCACACGGTTAAGCACTCGGCTATAACGGGAAAGTGGGCCCTTGGAACCCACCAGCCGCTCCGTGGGAGAAAGACGTTGCTAGCTTTACAGCCTAGGGCAACGACAGCCTAGGAAGCCCACTGGGGCAGTTCTGCACAGTCTCCGGGAACTGCCGAGAGTCCACACCAACAACAACCATGTCCAAAATCACAAAAGCCCGGGGCCGGGAACTGGATCTAGAGGGTGGGTCAGCAGGAGGAGCTGGCTGTTCGCAGAGCCTGGAAGTCTCACCTTCTGCCTGGCCTGGGCGTAGGTCTCGCCGTACTTCTGCTCCAGGTACCTGTAGTCATAGTTGGGGAATGGGGAGGGGCTGGGGAAAGTCCCCGATGTCCAGAGCTTCCACAGGTTCACCGCGGCCACTCCCAGCAGCGCCAGGGCCCCCGCGGCGTAGACGCCCACCTCCCAGCCGGGGGGGCTCTTGATGACTGGAAGGCAAGGGCAGCTTTATCAGTGACCCCTGGGGCAGCTCTCATTGCCAAGTCAGCAGGGTGGGGAGACCTGGAGTGGGTGTCTCAGGGGTAGGGTGCTATCTGGTGAGTGCTTGCTGTGGCCAGCACCCCGTGGGCACACCGAGAAGGGGTGGATGAGTCAGTCAGTGCAAGCCCCAGTCCCTGTCCTCCGGATACTCATCAAACCAGAAAGTCAAACTCACTGCCACCCAGTCGTTCCTAACTCATGAACTGCCCTTGCGGGCTTCCACGACTGTAACGCCACGGGCGAGAAAAGCCTCATCTTTCTCCCGCATAGTGGCTGGTAGTTTCGAACTGCTGACTTTCTGGTTAACAGCCCCAAATAGCTCAAGTGGCTCACAGTCTGGGGCTGTGAGAACGTGCTGATGGGAGGCCAGTGGGGAGCAGCCCAGCAGGCTTCCTGGAGCAGGGTCTCGGAAGCTGAGCTAGGAAGGAGGAGAAAGCTGGGTGGGTAGCCATGGCAGCCAGGAGACTGGGAGTCAGGACAGAAAGCGTGAAGGGCATCGAGAAAGCCCACAGTGAGCAGAATGCCCAGTGGGGGAGAGAGGAGGACAGGCACTTTGGCATGGAGGGTTTGGACTGCTGGCTTCACAGCAGACTCCCTGGTGACAGCAACTGCAGTGGGGGGAGGGGGGCAGCAGGACTCCCTGGTGACAGCAACATTGCAGTGGGGGGGGTGTGGGGGAGGGCTCAGCCTCAGACCAGCCAACCCTAAACCGGAATCCACATCCCAGATCTGCTCTGGAGAAGGGCAGCAACCCCAGTGAACAGAGGCGCTCTGGTGGCTTAGTGGACTACTAATTGAGGTCAGCCGCCAAACCTGCCAGCTGCTCCTTGGGACAAAGACCAGCCGTCTGCTCCTGTGAAGAGTTTAAAGCCTCAGGCACCCACAGGGGCAGTTCCACCCGAGCTACAGAATCACATGAGTTGGAATCCGCTTGATGGCAGTCCGTCTGGTTTTGGGTTGTGAGCAGAGCTGAGAAGTGACAGGCACTGGAGGCAGGCACCTGGGTTCCCAGCAAACCACCTGGTTTCTCTGGCTGGGCTCCAGTTTCTGACAACACGTGGTCCCATCCCCAGGGGAATTTATTTGAAGGGAAAAATCTCAACAAGCACGTGTGTGTGTGTGTGTGTGTGTGTGTGTGTGTGTTGTCTTGTTGAGTCATCAAGGCTGTCTTTAAGCAGCAGAAAGCCTGAAACAGCCTGAAGATCTGACTGAGGGGGCGGGGATGGGGGTGGGGGGACGGCAATTGAGGTCATGGGGATGGCAGAGAAATGCTTCCAGCTTGGTTAAGAGAAGGGGGAATCGGATCCCAAGGTGGCATGACCACAGTATTCTGATGCAAAAAAATCACATGGTAATCAAAGCCGGGGGCTGGGGGAGCAGGGACAAACAGAAACAGGCCAACAAGGTTAGAGGGACTATGAGTCAGTCCAGTTAGCCCTGGTGTCTCCAGCTGCTTGGGTACAGTGAGGAGGTGTGTGGCAGGTCCCAGGCCCAGCTCTGACTTTGGGGACTGGATGACTCATTGACGGGTTAAATTGGAGAGGGCTGTGCCCATGGGAGGGTTCCTGCTGAGGGGCACACTGGCTTCTGTCCTTCTGTCGGGTGTCAGCAGCTGGGTCTGGGCTCTGGCAGGGGACTGGCCAGTGGGTGTTGGGCCTGGCTGGGGTAGCCAACAGCACCAAGCTCCTCAAGACTCCAGGACACAGAGAGACGGAAGCCAGTTGTCCGGTTGGCAGAAAAGTAGGGCAGGGCTCGGGGCACAAAAGTGCAGGCCTGGTCCTCTCTGAGTCAAGCAGGCATCAGAAAAGTGGCATGAAATGGTGAGACAATGAATGTTCATCTGGGTTCTCGTTTTTTGGGTTGCCCAGCTTGGGGGCCCGGGCAGGATTCCCAGGGGACAGTGAGGACTAAACTGAGCCTTGACAATGAACCGTAGGGGCAGTAGGCAGCCCGTACGCTTTCCTATTTACGGGGCTCCATTCTAACCCAAGCCTTGGTGGTGGCATAGTGGTTACACGTTGGACTGCTAACCACAAAGTCACCGGTTCAAAAGCACCAGGCCCTCCGAGGGGAAATGAAGACAAGACGGGGCTTTCCACTCCTATAAGGAGTGAGAGTCTCAGAAACCCATAGGGGCAGTTCTACCCTGTCCCACGGGGGTGTTAAGAGTCAGCATCCACTCGATGGCAGTGAATTTTTCGGGTTCTCAGCAGGGAGCCCTCGTGGCTCCAGGATCGATGTTCCGAACCCATCAGCAGCGCCACAGGAAAAAGGCACGCCAGTCTGTTCCTGTAAAGGCCCCCAGCCCCCCCCCACCCCCTGGGCCGTCCCAGTCCGTTCTATAGGGTCCCTATGAATCGCAATTGGCCACACAGCAGTGGGTCTTGGTGGTCTGAAGAATTTCACATAGTTTAACCCATCGAGTCCTCAGAGCAACGGTGGGTGTTATTATCCTGGTCTATGGATGAGGAAGCCTCGGCTAAGACAGACTGGCTTCAGATCGGCACTGGAGGACACAGCCAGGCCTTGCCTCTGTTTTACAGATGAGGGTTAGAGGCTCAGAGAGGTGGCTTCTGGGAGAGAAGTGAGGATGGATGCTTGTCTAGGGAGGGCGAGGTGGTTTCTGAGATAGCCTTCAGCTCATTGTTGAGGCTGGAACGGGGCAGAACCCGTAGGCTGGGCTTAGTTAGGTGGGGAGTCAGAAGGCCCGTATTCCTGCCTCAGTGCTTCTGTTCATGCACTGTCTCTTTCGCTTCTGCCATTTGTAAAGGGGGCGGGCATGTCTGTTTCAGCTCTGATAGGATGAACCATGGTTTGGCAGGGCTGCAGGAACTGGTCGGGTGCCTCCAGGTTAGCTCTGCTCTCCATGATTGATTAGTTATACCTGCCATGGCACCAGGGAGGAAGGTAGGTGCTGCATCCCACATACTTGCCCTTCGGGGACTGGGTGCTCTCTGCGCGGAATGGTCCATTAATCGAATCAACTTTCCTGGGTTTCCTTGGCTACCTGCCAGGCTACAGAAATGGCCCAGAGTGAGTGGGCCCATTCCCCAAGGAGCAGTGGGTCAAAGGTCACCAGGGACAGTTCCTCAAACCAAACGGAGTCACTTCAATGGGAAGGGGGTCACAGGAGTTGGGGTGGGGGGGTGGGACCTCAACCTGCCCCAGGCTTGGTGGTCCTAAGGTTATGTGACCATGGGCAAGTCACTGACTGTCCTAATCAGTAAAATGGGGCCATTATTCATGCTGCACTGACACCTCCAGCCCAGGTCAGGTGCCAGGGTCCCTGGAGATTACACACAGGGTGGGAGGGGGGAAGAGACCGGCCACTGGGACTTACCGCTCAGGTGGTACTCTGCCACGCCCACGGCCATGATGCCCACTGCAGGGGCTGCGGCTGGAAGGGAAGAGAGAGTCAGCAGAGAGGGCAGGGCAGGACCACCCACCCTGGCCTGTCACCCCTGCCTGCCTGTCACCCTGGAATTCACTCAGCCATCAGGGGAGCCCGGTCAAAGAAAAGTATTTTTTGGTGTTGTTGGGTTTTATTTTTTTCAAAATGCCACTTAAGCTGGCAGCTGAAACACAGGGCAGGCAGCTGCATGCCAATTTCAGGTGGTCCTTTTAGTATATTTTGATCCCAACTATTGCATGGGACATATTTATGCTGAAAAGGTAGTCATTGCTACAACTACCTGAACTCAGGATGATTTTTTTTAGTATAATTATGTACCAAACAAGAAGCCCAGAGTTTGACCGTTAATCCAAAGGTCAGTGGTTTGAACCCACGCAGTGGATCCGATCGGCACCTGTAAAGATTGACGGGCTAGGAAACCTTGTAGGACAGCTCTACTCTCCTTTACAGCCACTGAGATCGGGACTCGACCCTTCGGGTCATGGGTTATAGCGGGGTCATACTCTCTGGTGGAACTGGCCCTTCCTTGTTATGTTCCCGAGGCAGGATTAGGGGAGGGTGTGATGCAGTCATGAAAGCTCTTGACTACTAACCTAAAGGGTTTGTGGTTCGAACTCGCTAGCTGCCGGCTGGAAGAAAGATGAGGCTGTCTGCTCCTGTAAAGAGCTCATCCTTGGGAACTTAGGGGACAGTCCTACTCTGTCCTATGGAGTTGCTATGAATCAGAATCAATGGCAGCCAGTTGGGACTTTTTTATTTGTTTGTTTGAGGTCTGATGAAGTTGTTCTAGAAGGTAACACATGCAAGCCATTTCCTGAACCCAGGGGACTACTCGTTGTTTTATGACAGAGAAATGGTTTATGCTGAGAAAGAAACGTGGTTGGTAGACTCATTCAGAGTTGGGCAGGGCAGTCTGAAAGAGGACAACAGAGAAAGGCAGTGCAGAAGGGCAGACAAAACCTCCCTCCCAACCTCTCGGCTCCCTTGCAATTCAGAGGGTGGGTTACAGGCGCAAAAGCTTGCAGGACCAGGCAGTTACAGTCAAGGGCTGAAACTGGGATAGGGCGATTATCTGGCTCCAGAGGGAAGGCTTCTTGCTTCTTGAAGAAAAGCCAGGCACCCAGATTAAAATTTTTGTTCTTTGAAAGGAGCAGTTTCTTCATTTTCAAATGTTGCGGCCAATGCACAAAACGCATCAAACCCTGTCCAGGCCCGGGCCTACATTCCTCGGACTGTGGCCTGCCAGTCTGTCACCTTGGGAAGACTTCTGGTCTCCTTTGGGGACCGGAGTCAGCATTCCAGGATCCTGGGCACCCCACTCATCTGGGGCCTGGGAGCCAAGCAGTTGGGGGTGACTTGGTCCAGATAAACTGTCCAGCAAGCTCCAGGGCAGGAGGTCCTTGGGATGCAAGACCAGGAGCACAGGCTGATCCACTCTCTCACTCTTCTGACAAGCACCCCGATCCCTCCTCCCATGAGGTGATGTGGTTGTCATGGTGATGAGAGGGCTTCACCCATCCTGACTCCAGTGAGCTCATGCCTGGGACCTGGGCTCGAGATGGTGATAATAAGATAATAATAGCTAACCTCGTAGAGCAGCTCTCAACACTTGGCATATTCAATCGGCAAGGCGCATGAGGGGAGGGCTTCAAAACAAACGTTTATCGAAGAATTGAATGAGACTGAATGGATTTTTCCATTAACTTTTTTGAGATCCGCCTCCTACCTCACCAGCTCCACCTGTTACCATGGGACTCCACAAGGTCGGTTACCTCTGATGTTCGGATAAGCCTATTGAGGCTGGGCAGGCATTTGCTCCAGCCATACAGCAAATAAACCCACTGAACAGGACTTCAGCCCAGATCATTAGCTTTACTGACCTGGGCTTACTGCAGGTGGCACATGGCTGCCAAGCTGTTTCCTGGGCATCTACTGGCCACCTGTTCAAGCATGCACTGTGCCATCTGGCAGGCCCCAGGTGGCCCTGGCTCCTGGTGAAAGAGCATCATAGACTGGTGTCGCCTCCCAAAATAGGTTGTTGGTTTGGCCAGGCCATGCTCCTCGGTGGCTTGGCGTTATGCAATGAAGCAAGGTGACAGTTATGTGATGATCCACCATATTGGCATCTGATGTGGTTAACCAATTTGAGGAGGGAGGGAGGTGTGCAATACCGTAACTCAGGTCACAGCCCTCATCTGATGGAGGGGAGTGTCCCTGGAGGGAGGCCTGAATCACCTTTCTTGTCTTACAAGCGATCAAAGGAAAGGGAAGGGAGCAGAGAGCAAAAAGACATACTCGCACCAAGAAGAACCAAGAGCGGAGCACATCCTTTGGACCCAGGGTCCCTGTGCTGAGAACCTACTAGACCCAGGGGGCATACTGATGCCAAGACCTGTGGAGCTTCCCGAGGGGTGTCAGGCTGAAAGGAGACCAGGCCCTTTCCCCAGACTCGACACACTGAGAGATAGACTTCCCTTATAGCCCTAGCCCGCACACTGCATTTGGTCTTCTAGCCTCCTAAACTGCGAGAGAATAAACTTCAGTTTGCCAAAGCCACCCCGGGTGGTATTTGTTATAGCAACACTTGGTCAACAAAGAAAGAGGAGCTTGAACACCTGCCCAACCATGTGCCAGCCTGCCCACCCAAGCCTCCTCAGCAGCCCTCTCTCCCTCTCACCTGACACAGCTGACCTAGCGAGAGGGAGGTCCAGCTGGGACAGCCAATGCCAGCTAAGCAGGCAGGTCAGACCTCAGCGGCAAGGTCTAGTGGTGTGCAGGGGATAGGACCCCTGGCTGGGTCAGGCCTCTGCTGTTGAGGGACCCTCATCCTGCCAAGGTGGTCCAACCTAGGCTCCAGACTCCACATTGCCCCCTGTCCATCAGAGCACGCCTTTCACAGAAACTGGGATTTTGGTGAAGGAGGAGGTACCCCCTCCCTCCAGCCAGCAGTTTAAGCCTCGGGTAGTTTCTGGGGGGAGCTGTTGGGGCATGGGGGTGGGAAGGGGCATGACAGGAAGGAAGCCCCCGGTTGGAGTCAGCTGCACGCAGCTCTGAATGCCAGATCTGCCCCTTCATGAGCTTAAGTGACCAAGTGCAATCTTCATCTTTCTGAGCCTCAGTTGTTCCATCTGTAAAATGGAAGCAGATGGCTGCTCAGGGAGAGCCCCAGGAGGGTGGATGGGGTGGGTGAATGTGGTCACTTAGGCTTGGCAAGTATGAACTGCTGTGGTTACTGGCCTGGCGGCCCTCCAAACAGGCCCCTTTGCCCTTAGACTGAACAGCAAGAGAGCATAAGGCAGGACACCCAGTAGGGCTGCTCCTGTGCCCTTTATGTTTTAAAGTGAGCTGCCAATGGCTAAATGCTGGGCAATTTTCCATTAAGAGGGTCTCAGCTGACTGGCCCCTGGAGGCCTCTATGTTAATGAGCCTGGTAAGGCCACCTTTAAATGGGAGGACGTTCAGAGAGGTTAAGTGATTTTCCCAAAGCTAGCCAGCCAGCAGGGATGGAACTGGTGCAGGGCCGGTGCTGGGCCTGGCGGCTGGCTGGCTTTCTTGCTGCCTGATCAAGGGAGGCTTCAGTTCGAAATGACAGCACCCTCCCCCCACCCCCACCCCTGCCAGGACTCCACACTCATCTTCTCTATCACTTTCCCCAAGGCCACGATGGGACACATCCTGCCCTTACCCCCACTCAACAGAGGAGGAAAGTGGGGGAGCAGTGAAGGGCAGTGCCTTTTCCCAAGGTCACCCAGTCACGGTCAGGGGGCTGAGACTGAGCCAGAAGGGGTCTTCAGGAAATGTGCTCTCTGCTTTCCTCCCCAGACCCCCTGATACCCTCTCCCCGCTGGCCTCTCAGCTAGCTGCCTGGAGGTCGGCCAGGCAGAGGGGTTGCAGCTGCCTTGGATCAGGATGCTGACGAGGCAGCGCCAAGGCCAGAGAGCCTGGGACCAGAGCTTCCCCGCACCCTGACACACACAGGAAGGAAATGGGGCGCAGCGCAGCGAGCTGGGGAGCACGGAGCTGCTTCAGGACTGCCCCTCCCCCACCCCTGCAAGCAGCTCTGGGTTCAAATCCTGACACCATCATGCCTATCAGGCATAGATGCTGTAGGAATCCTAGAAGCAATAGGTGCTCAGCAGGGCGCCAGGCACACTGGAGGCACCCACTACAGATCGGATGACTTCACAGGTAACAGGATCCCCATTTTCCAGAGTAGGACACTAGGATTCTGTCCACCCAGATTATTAGTAGCGACATGGTTCAGTACCAAGGAGGGTGGCTCCGGCTTCTTGGACATCATCAACCTCCTGATCAGACTCTGGGGGTCGGGCAGCTACTTCCCTCACCCCTACCTCCTGGCTGTCTGGAATCTTGGAGGCCCCCAACCCCTTCCTGGGCTTGCCAAGAAACAAAAAAACAAAACAGCTTTCCAGGAATTCTGGGCCATGACAGGGAGTCCCTGCATCCCTTGAAGACTACCCTTCAACCTATCACGTCCCTGGGGCCAGTGGGGAAAGGTAGCAGCAGGGGGAGGGCCCAATGGAGCCCTCACATCTCAAGACCTGAGCCTCTCAAAGTGCTACCCCCACTTTCTGAGATACCACATCCTGCTGCCACTCCCAATCAACCCACAGAACCACCACAGAAGTGTGGGTCTGTGTGTGTGGTGGGGAGCTGGCACTCATCGGGCACCTACTGTGTGCCAGGGCTTCCTGCCACAGCCTCTGGGGTGGCCTGATGAGAAAACGGAGGCTCAGCAAAATGACTGGAGCACTCACTGAAGTGGAACACTCAAATGACTGGGAATCTCCACTCTCCCAACAACTCGAGCCAGGTCCCTCCCCTCTCCGGGACTCTGTTGCCCCATTTCTAATAGGAAGCCGGGGACCAGAGGCTCTTTCTAGCCCTGCTGCTGCTCTGCGGATCTTTGACACCGACCAGCCCCCCACACTACCACCATGGCCGGCTCTCTGGTGTGTGGCTTC